CTTCAACGTTAAAACGATGTTTTAAGCACTTTGTAAATGTAATCTATATCATTCTCGCTACAACTTTGTGAGATAAAATTCATAACGTTGAATTTCTAATGTTTCCATTTTACTGATGAGCAAACTGCAGCTTATATTTCAGCTTATATTTCAGCCAAGGTCACACAGTTCCTTAGCGGCAGAGTCAGAAATAGAACCCCACGTCAATCTGCCTTCCCAGACTTTCCATTTTCTCCCAGAATAAAAGCACAGGCTCTAAAATTAATGAGACCATGAAAAGCCCATAAATGGAGATTTAGGAGTGTTTTGAATGCTTAGAGTGCAGTTTTGGAATGCAGTTGGAGGAAGGGAATGGTTTAGGCCAGTGCCACTAAAAGAATGGTCCACGAGACTAAGAGTAAATTAACTATGTCATTAAGCATATATTTGTCCCCCACAGCGAGACTTTGTCAATGAAGGGAGCCATGCATCAATTTATATTCCAGTACATGTTTCTAATCTCCACGTGGACCAGGAACTGTGTGCAAACCGGGAACCAGTCCACAGATCATGCTTTAAGTGAACAAGCTTAAGGAACTTCTTAGGAGATTTTCCGAAAGCTGGATTAAATGTGATTATTTGAGTTATAGTCCTGCCTAACCTTTACAAAACTTTCTGGCATTTGAACATAAGAATTAAACAGCAGGACAGATAATATGATTCTCCTTTAAGCAGAGCACAGAACAAAGAGAACACATTGCCTATTGCTGCTTTCTGGAACATTTTTCCAGGCATAAATATACATACTGTAAATTAATAGCATTCTCTCTAACCAAAAAGAAAATGGGTTTCTTCTTTCCATGTACCATCAAACATAAAGACAACACTCATTAAAAGTAGAATAATAATAAAGCTCCACTGAGTGGTTTAATTTTAGGAAGCATCAAGGTTGAAGATGGACCAACAAGCATATTCTATAAGATTTAGAATATAATACGTAACTCTCAAAACCTAAAAACCAGTGCTGAAATTAACATGATATGAATACTTCAAGACCCTGAATAAAGCAATTCTGGCTGCTCATTGTGTTTTATTAAAGCACACAAACTCATGTGCGTGTACGTACATATGTAATTTTATACTTCCCAAGTGGACTCTCTAGAAGCTATGCGGTCTGTATTTCTGTTCATGACTTGTTTTTATCCTGATTTCTTCTCTTTCTATCTATTGAGTTATTATAATATTTATCCCATACATTTTCCTGACATTAGAATGTATAATCTATGGATAACAGTGCTGCTTATCAGTTGTACTTTATTGATGTGGTAGATGACTTAAAGACTACACCGAAGAGTTTGCCATCAATTTCCTTTCTTTGTGAATTGCTCAGAGCCCTAGCAATTGTTCAGCTTCCTAACCAAACTGCCGAGCACCTTTTTGCAACACCTTACATTCTCTCCTAGACTAGGGAAATTCTCTCCAAACAAACACCAGCCTCTGAAGAGGAGAGGCAAATAGACAGGGTGCCTATGCACCTCCTTCCTGCTCATGTTCCCAAAAAGAAAATCAAATAGGCTCCAAAAGAACTTGAGCATTAAGTGGTATAAAAGTAGCAATTTCACCTAGAGAAGTTCTTTTGTTTGTTTGTTTCCGGTATGTTTTTCAATTGTAGTGAGAGAATTGGTAGCATCGTTATGAATGCAGAGAGAATATTTACACCAAAGACATGCAGAAAATGACCTGTAGGCATGCTGGCAACCAAGAAGAGAAGATCTAGGGAAAAAGACCAGGCAGGCCGGTAAGCTAAGACTGAAGTGGAACCCTATGAGATGCATTATGGGAACCAAGCACAAGGTACCCGACAGGACCAATGACCTTACTTGCTGAGGATTGGAGTTCAGTGATTGATTTGGAAGGATACTCAAGCCACAGAATAATTTAAAACTGTCAGGCACACTGTATGTCACAGATCATGCAGGGAGACCATTTCTCTAGGGCAAGGATAGGTAGTTCTTTGCTATATGGTTATATATTCTTGTTCTTCTGCATGGTGCTTGGTTAGACAATGACAGGTTATTAGATGACCATCTCCCCAATGGCTATATAAGCACTCAAACTAACTGAAGTAGGGTGTCCTTTCCCCTCAAAACACTGCTCTTTCATGCCAAGGACACTTTTACCAAGGGATTTTTAAATGCATTGCTTTTGATTTCATGTAACTTACTTGGGTAATAAAAGCTAAGTATCCATAGCTTGAATTTCTCCTGGAGTTCTTATGTTTCTGATTGATTTCTTATGAACAGTGACCTTAAAGGGCACCAGTATTCTCCCCAAGGCAGAACTTGTTATTAATACGATGTTAAGGCTCAGTTAGAAGAACTCCAAGTATTGCTCCTTTCATTTTGATAAGTTCTCTATATTAGCTGCTATGTGCACCTTTATGTAAGGAATCACTGTGTGGGCCAAATGTTCCTTTCTCTAGATAGCTTATAAGCATCTGGATAAATTTGCATTATAAATTCAATTAACTTTATATTAAAAGGTCAATTAGCTTGGTTATGATAGAGATTGTTTTTAATTACTTTTCCTTGTAGGGCTTCTCTTCTTGTCCAAGCACAAGTGACACTATCGAATGATAGGCTCATTGCCTGTTGGTTGCCTGAAACTCATATGCAAAACACACTGGAAATGACTGTCTTGATTAAATGAATTAATAGGACATTCTTTGGGCAATTCGTCACTATTATAATTTAGGAGACTTAAAGTATCTATAAGCAATAATAAAGTATTTTAGCTTAAACCTTCTCTATTGTATTGTTCATGACAATACCCTTCATTATTTGTCCATGTTGATTTCTATTTTCTTGGTGAAAAATGATAAAGTAAAAGGATTTTAAGGATTAGTCCTTATTACACTATATCACAGTATATTTTCTGAAAAATGAACAAATAATGACATTAAAAACAAATTACCTGTTTCATTAGAGGGTTCTTGGTTATCTTTGTGTTAATAAGGGCCACACTTCAACCCATTCATGGAGCACCAGAACACTTAACAGACTCAAGGGATTACCACTTGGAGTAAGTAACAAGTGGCAATCATTACTAAGCCATTATTCAGACAAAAAAAAAA